GGCCAGTCGTGCGTGCGGCGGCGGAGTCGAGGGCGCCGCATGGCTCTCGCCCGAGCTCGACGCGGACGACGCATTGACGCTGTGGTCCGCGCTCACCGCCGCACTCGCCGCACCAAAGCCCTCGGCACCCCCAAGGTAGCCCTCGCTGGATCGGTACAGATCGGGTGTGGGCGGTGCCACTTCGGCGTCCTGGTACGACGCGCCGAAGCTCGACTCGCTCAAGTCCATGCTCGGGCGGCAGGCGTCCATGCTGCCCGCCTCGACGTCGATCCACGCCGGGCTGTGCGGTGCATCGATGGTGGAGTTCTTGTCGAGCGCGGCGCTGAGCGTGCCGTTGCTGCCCTCGACGCTCTCGGACACTTCGGAAACCTCCTCGATCTCGTCGAGCGTCTGCAGACTGCCCATGCCGAGCCCAACCAGCTCGCTGTCAGACGCGGACGCGGGCAGCTTGGTCGAAAACGAGTCCGACAGATCCGACTCGTTGTCGGTGACCGCCGTATCGTCGGTGGCCGTCATGGAGAGCGAGGCGCTGCTCTGCGACTGGCCGAAGCTGCCCATGCTCGAGTCGTACGCAAAGACGTGGCGCTTGTTCTTGCCGAGCACGCCGCTCGATCGTCGCGCCGAGCTGAACGAGTCCGAGTTCGACGATGTGCGGTCACGGCTGTCATCGGCCGAGCTGAAGCTCTGCTCGACGCCCGTGTCGGCCTTTGCCTCGGCCTTGGCAGTGGGCTGCTGGGCCTCTTGCTGGAGACGCGCGATCTCCTCCTTGGAGTGCAGGTGCTGCTTGCGCTCGTGCTCGAGGCTGCCGGCAAGGTTGAAGATCTGCTGGCGCATGTCGGCCAGCAGCTTGGTGATCTGAGGCGGGGCCTCCTCGCTTCCGATGCTCGGCGAGAGTCGGGGCGTGGCGCTGAGGTTGGGGCTGACCGCGCCCAGGTTCGGACTCCTGAGAACCGCAGCGAGGTCTAGCTGGGGCTGGTCGAGCGCGGCCCAGACACCGAGGTCGTCGGCGGGCACCTCGGCGCCCGTGCGCTCGATCGCATCGGTGAGCTGCTTGATGCGCAGACGCGCGGCTGCGCGCAGCTTGCGCGCGTCGTCCGACTTGGCCTTCTCGGTGCGCAGCGTCTTCTCGAGGTCCTGGCAGCGCGATCGCCAACCCTCGATGTCGTCCTGGAGCACCTCGCGTTCCGCGTGCAGGTCCTCGAGCTGCTCCTTGGCCTGGTCGAGCTCGGCGCGGAGTGCATCGGCCGCCTGCTCGGCATTGCTCGCTGCAGTCTCTGCACGCTGCGCGCGATCGAAGAGATGCTCCTCCTTGTCCATGTTCCACTGCTCGAGCTCGGCGCGCTCGCGCGCACTGCGTTCGGTCTCGTTGGCGAGTTCGCGCTCGAGCGTCTCGACCTGCTTCTTGGTGGACTCGAGCAGCGCCGCATCGCGGTTCGCCTTGAGCTTCAGCTCGTCGTGCACAGCAAGCGGCACGCCGCCTAGGCTGACGATAGAGTCGGACGCCGAGTGCGGCGACGAAGATTCGGGCACAGCGGCAGTCGCTGGCTTGTAGACGATCGACGAACGTCGCGCCGCGCGGCTCGAGCCACTCGAGCCGGCGAGTGCTGCGGCAAAATCGCTGTCTCGCGACGACGAGCCCGAGACGAGCGAGGCGGTGCTGGGGCCCATGATGAGGCTGCGTCGGCGCTGAGCAGATGCGGATGCGGATGCGGATGCGGCACTGCCCGCGGAACCGGAGGATGCGCCCGACTCCATGATGGCAGCGAGCGAAGCCTGGCTGCCGAGACGCAAAGTGCGCATGCCCTGGCGCGACGACGAGCTTGCTGAAGAAGCGGACCCCGACTCGGCAGTAGAAGGCGTTGTGGAATGCGCGGCGGAGGGAGCGATGAAAGAGCGACGATGGTCGCGGAGGATCTGCTGCTGCAGCTCCTCGAGCCGACGCTGCTCGTCCGCTGGCGCAGTGTGAGCCTTGGCTAGAGATGCGCTTGCCTCTGCAGCTGGCGCGTTCGTGGGTTCGGAGTGCGCCTCGAGAACAGAGTCGGTGCTGTCCTGCTCGGGCGACTGCGCGACCTTGGACAGGTCCGGGCAGGTTGCACTGCGGCTGGGCAGAGAGTCGGTGGTCTCGGACTGCGAGACATCGGTGTCGGCCAAAACAGCAGGAGCCGCCTTGGGAGTGGCCTCGTCGGCGATGGAGGCAGGCAGCAAGGGAGAGATGGCAAAATTGGGCATCGAGGGGCTGGTGACGAGGCCATTGCGCTGCGAGGGCGTGAGGTAGAGGCTTGGCGGGCGCGACTTGAGCTTGAGCGGCTTGGGAGCGAGACTGGTGCGTCGGTTGCGCTTGACGATCTCGTCCTCAGCCTCGCGGCGCTGCTTGCGGAGCTCGTGCTCAGCCGACGTGCGTCCGTCGGTGGGCATATCGAGGCTGGCGCGCTCGCGGGTGGGGGATGCATCGTCTTCCTCCTCCTCCTCCATGAGCGTGCCGAGACCTTCAGGCTGCGGCGATTCGGCCCGGGCGATCATCGACTCGGGCCTGGCAGGGCTGGTGAGGTACGAGCTCGGCAATGCGGGCGACGAGAATCCAGCGGCGAGAAGGGGCGCGGACGAGGGCGGAGCGAGGCTGTTGATGCCCCAGCTGTGGCGGCGGCTCGAAGCGGACGCGAAGGTGGCCGAGGTCGGGGTGGTAGCGGCAGCATCGGTGAAGCTCGCCGCGAGCTGGTTCCAGCTTGCGCGACGCTCCTTGATCTCGTTCTGGTGGATTTCGTCGAGATTGGGGATCTGGATGCTCTCTGTGCGCGCATGGCTGGAGAGGCGCTTGGATGCCCGAGATCCCTTTGACTCGGACGCTGCAGAGTCCGTGTGCGGCTTTTGAGCTGGAGCTGCGCGACCCTCGAGCTTTTCGAGTGCGGTGAGGCGGTCGTCTGCGCTCTCATCTGCCTGCTCTGCGGCATCTGCGATAGCCTTCCTCCAGTCCCACTGCTGCACGCCGTCACGGGCTGGGCCAGTGGTGGCGGTCGAGCTGGGCTCGGGAGCGCCAAAGAGGACGCTGGCGGATGGGAGGTTGGACATGCGCGAGCTGCGACGCCTTGTGGATGTGGTGGCGTGCATGGGCGATGTAGCGGGTGGCATGTCGAGGCCGAGGCCGGCGCCGAGTCCTCCCATGATTTCCATGCTCTCGCGTTTTGTGGAGACGCTGGGAGTGCGGGCGTGACGGCTGATGCGTCTCGAGTGTCGCGAGTTGGGCGCGGAAGGCGAAGGTGCGATCGGGGCGGTGTTGGTACGGCCGGCAGCGCCATCAAAGAGCGCGGGAGAGACGGGGATGACATTGCTGAGACGGTTTGCCGAGGCGGAAGAGGCGGGACGGAAGCTGGGGG